TTTAAATCTTGAATTAAACTTTGAAAAGATGTAAGTTGGAATAGAAGAGGATAAAGATACATAGAAAAACTTGAGGTTTTTTTTGTTTTTGTTTTTTTTAATTAAAACGGTGTCTTGCTGTGTCACCAGGCTGGAGTGCAGTGGTGCGATCTCGGCTCACTGCAATCTCCGCCTCCCAGGTTCAAGCCATTCTCCTGCCTCAGCCTCTCTTGTGCCTTATAAAGTCTTTTGGAGTCAGAACCACTGATTTTTTATGACAGCTAAAAAAAAAAAAAAAAAAACCCAGAATTTATGACAGGATCTGTGGCAGAATATGTGTGTGTGTGTGTCAAAGAGAGACTTCAAAGCTACAATTCAGAGCTATAGCAGTGAAGAGCCTAAGTATAGAAAATCTATGCTTGGTCCTTGGTACATTCAAAGAATAAGAAATCCAGGAGAACTGGGATGGTGATGGACTTTCACAGCGGCTAGAGAAGGCTATGGTGTGTGTGGGGAGGGGAAAAAGGTCTTGGTGTGTGAGGTAGGTGGGCAGGCAAAGACAGCTTGTGGCCTCTTTAGTTGTTTTTCAGCTTCCTGTAGATTAAATAGAGCTCCTAGAGGTTTGCTTATGAACCTACTTGTCATCAGTAACTTTTTCTTTGAGACATTCCAGTGATTCTTCCTTTTTGCCCCAGCTTTATGGCTCTACCTGTCTACTTTGTGTTTATGACTCAATTCATGACCCTATAATAGTGGCTTTTTCAAAAAATCATTGTATTACATTTATGAGAATGTGGAAATAATTGAATGTGTGACTGCTTACTAAAATAAATGGAAGATCAGTTTACAGTGACCCTAATTAAGGCTGAAGAGTTTAGGTTATATCCTGTATGTTTACAGAAAGGTAACAGGAGTGGGAAAAAGAATGCTGGAAAGGGCAGTCCCAAAGTGTTTTATCTTAAGACTACCCAAGCATGAAGGAAGTCCATTCCAGGAGTCAGGAGGTGCCTAACACAGAAGTTTCAAACCTGACTGGCCACAGAGTTACCTTGGTAGCACGTTAAAGTCCTATCCTGCATCTCACCCTAGAGTACTGGTTTCCAACCTTAGATGCACAGTAGAATTAACTGAGGAACTTTTAAAGCCATCATTATCCAGGTCCAAATTCAGGCTTATTAAATGAGTATTTCTGGGCATGTTGTTCAGGCATCTTTTTAAATTTAATTCCCTGGGTATACTAAGATTGAAACTTGAGACTCTATATACTGAGTTAAAAGCTCCACGGGCAAGACGTAGGAATCTGTATTTTGTAACCACCCTCTCCCAAATCTACTTAGTTTGGGGAACAGCATTTGAAATGGACTGCTCACGGGCATGGATTAAGTGGATGAGACACAGCAGAAATCAGGTGTGATGGGTAATTGAAAGAAATGGCAGGTTACGTGGTTCTAGTTAAAAATGTTCAAGAGGCTCAAGATAGAGCCCTCAGAGACTTTCAGTGTTTGGGTCTTGGCCTTGCTGCTGTGGAGAGGTGATGCAAAGTCAAGCAGAATAAAGAATTTGAAGTAGTATATGGTTATGAAGGGCTAATGTTATGAATATTAAATTTACTGAGGTTGATGGATTGGAGTGGATTATTATAAATTAATTACTGATGTATTACAAATATTTTAAAAAGTGGTGAATGAGAAAGAAGAAAATGCTCAGAGTTGGGGCAGAAATAACGGGCTGTGAGGATGAATTTGACTGTCTACTTCTACACCTACAGGTGAACAGAAAAGAGAGGTTCTACATGGGATAGGGTACCAGTACAATGGGTTCCAGAAAGAGCTAGATTTGACTTAGGTCAGGTAGATGAAGAGAAATGGGAGGAAATTAGTTGAGAATTTTAAAGGGATGCTAGCCCATAATGAAAGAAGAGGGGAAGAGCTTGAGGGTGAGCTTAAGTTGTGTGGAGAGGATTTGATGGAAAGTTCAGCAACAAGAATGAGAAGTTTGCTTATCAGGTGCGTATAAATGGGGTTGATGGAGTCCCTGGGACAAAATGTAACCACCAATTATCGAACATCTGTTATGTTTAGCTTTGTGCTAGGTGCGACAAAAAATGCAAAAACACAGTTTTAAAAAATGGTATCTGCCTCAGGGTATACAGGGTTAACACTTGAAAAGCAAAGCTGTAATGAGCCATAGCAACAATTTGTACTATCGGAGATGAGAGAAAGGAGATCACGGAGTGCAGAACTTTAAGAAAGGCCTTGAAGTAAAGGTAATGATTTAGGATGGCTGGCCATGAAAAATGATAGGGTTTGGATAGGCAGAAGAAAGTGGGCAAAGTAATCCAGCGAAGAAAACAACATGATCAAGGCTTAAAGGGAAAAATTAGTGAGTAATAAAGCAAACCCAATGGAAGCATGCTGGGAACTTGTGGGAGGTAAGAAAGATTGCATGCGGGCTGGAGCCAGATCACTAGGTAGAGAAGCTTAGAGTTTTTTCTGTGGTTAGTGGGAAGCTATTGGAATTTCTGAAATAGAGGAACAACATAATGAAATCAGTGGTAGTATATAGTTTAACTAGAGGAGGAAGGAGAAAGAAAAGGAAGGAAGGAGCATTGTAGCTCATACCTGAGGTGATGAATGCATCCACTAAGGTGGTGGCCATGGGACAGAGTGTAAGGGATGTAAGCATACACACAATATGGAACCTAACTAGACAGCAGAAATGAAAGAAAAGAAAGATTAATAAAGGAAAAGGATTCTGAGGTTTCCAGATGAGGTCAACAGCATCCCAAATTATATATGGAAAATCTTGTGCCCTTTGTTCATTATGTTCTAAACAAGAGGTAAGACGGGAAAGAATGAATGCTATGGTGATGATGTTTTAAGTAATTTAATAAACTACAGATATTATAAATATACAAAATAAGTGTTTATAACAATAATAGCTATTTATTGTGTGTCTACTTTGTGCTAAACATTTGCCATGTATTCTTTTATTTAGTTAAATAATGCAACCAAAAGCAATCACAACAATCCTTTGAGGAAGATATTTTCCCACTTCACGGAAAAGGAATCTGAGCGGGTTATGTGTACCCTGCTAAAGAGTAAAATGGCTAGTCAAGGACAGAGGTTGCTTTATAACTGAGACGTTTCTGACTCATGTTCTTTGCCCAATTCTGAACATTCTGTGTCTGTGGTCATAGGCAATAGGGGCCATGTGGTACAAGCAAGCTGCAGTTATAGCAGTATTTCTAGTTTGAAAAAAAGCATGTTGTCCAGTAGCAAATTTGTTCAAATTTTTGTTAGTAGAGATAGAACAATTACAGGAAATATCTGTTCTAGGATATCTGATTTTTTTATGGTATGAATAAATCATTAAATTGTATGTAAAATCAGTTTGACTGAAGCAAAATAGTCTAAGAGACGTAAGACATAAAAAGAGAGGGCTATGGCTGTATAAATACATACCCAGAAAGTCTCTAAGTTTGAGCGGGTTGTAAAGTCTCTTTATCAACCTTTTTTTAAACTACAAACCCGTAATGTATTGCTTGCTTATTCTCCCCTTCATAAATAACCTGTTAGGACACGAATAATTTATAACTATATTTAACAATTGGAGAAAAGTGGTCAGTATACATTGTGAACCAGAGAACCTCCAAAAAGTTAAAAATGATGCTGCTTTGCTGTTTGAAACTCTCTGTCTATAAAATGGGGAAAATAATACTTGAACCTACCTCCTAAGGTAGAAATGAAGTCTAAATTAATACACATAAAACATTTAGGAAAAAACCTTGTACAAAGTAAGCACTTAATGTTACATGAGATTATTAAAGTCATGTGTCACATAACAATGTTCCAGTCAATGACAGATCACATAATCTGAAGGTGGTCTAATGCCCTTTCTATGTTTAAATATGTTTAGATGCACACTTATCATTGTGTTACAGTTGTCTACGGTATTCAGTATGGTAACATGCTCTATAGGTGTAGCCCATGAACAATGGGCTATATCATATAACGTAGATGTGTAATAGGCTATACTATGTGGATTTGTGTAAGTGCACTCTGTGATGTTTGCACAGCTACAAAGTTGTCTAACGAAGCGTTTCTCAGAAAATATCCCCATTGTTAAGAGATACATGATTGTATTTACAAACCAACATCTATAGCTGAAAAGCTGTTTGTAAGCCAGCCAGCCCTTTCTACTCTACTCCTGTCCTGTGGGTTTAGTTCTTTTTTTCCACAGCCTTCTATATCAAGCCTTAGGCCCTGTATGTATTGCTTTTGCCTTTATAAACCTGTCTGACCCTACACTGTCCCCCACAAATCAGAGTTATCCTGCCGCTCCCAACCCCCCAGAATTAAGGGATATCGTACACTCTCTGAACTCTTCGGGGCTGATTTATGTCTCAGGTTGTATTAATTTCTTTTGAAGGGGAAAAGAAAGAGCCCTCAAAAGGTGTACAGCTACTATTGCCAAGTAGCAACTTTTGGCATAGTGTTTGGAAATTTATTTTTAGTTAGAGATGAAGAAGAGTAGAGAAAGATCAACAGAAGATGAGTGAGGAAGTAGATGGAGCTGAAAAAGCCCTAAGAAGCTTTGATTTCCCTATTTTTTCCTCCTTTTTTTAAAAAAATAGTTTTATAGTTGACTCTGAGTGAAGAATCCCTTCTTGTATGGTAAAATATTATACTGATGAGCTATATTAATAACTACTTGTTCTTGAGATGTGTAACTTGGAGGATATCTGTGTGACATTCTAGTAAGCTATTAAAAACATTTTTTGAAATGAACAATTAAATGAATATGCCTTTTAAAAATAGAAATTATTGAGATTTACCAATTCAGCTGAATTGAAAAGTCAGTCCGAAATTTAGGTCTGCTTAATATATTTCAAATTAACTTAGTTTTGTTCTAGATGTTTTTGTTAAAGAAAAAAAAAAAGAACAAGACTCTTAATTGGTTGAGAAATTTTGGCTGCATCAAATTACACATTTTAAAAGTAGTATTTTACTGTGTAAGCATAATGTATTCATGTATTTTTATCTTTTCCTATGTAATAAAATAGATGAATAAAATCTCTGATGCCACCTTGCTTTCCTAATGATAAATGAACACTGAAATTTCTGAGCTTCAGGACTAATGTTTTTAGGGCTAATTTTCAGCCATCTTATGATCAATTGCATTGATTTTTTGGCGGTGGGGGACAGGAACAAAATTTTGTTTCAGAATCCACATCTGTATTTCTTAGTCTCTATTTAAAGATATGATTTATATCACTTAAACCAACCTGGGCTGGTGCTATGTAGGTTGGGAGGGAAGTTTGCACCTTGAAAGTAGCTGACTTTTCATATCTTAGTAGAAGGATGTAAAACAAAGTTAGCATTTCTGATTTTATAACCTACCATCCTTACAGGGAACTGTGAAAAATACAAAAAGAGAAACAAAATGTCTTAACCCAGTATCAGGACCTAATAGTAGACTCTAAGATATATTGTTGGCTCCAGGATGGCTGACTGGTAGTTTCGGTAAGTTTATTAAAAATTGGTAAAGCAGGGTTTCTTAAATTTTTCTGTTTTAATTTGAAACATATAAATATACTTCTTCTTACCAGTCTTTTGACATAATAACCTTTGCTCAGTATCTCAGGAGGCCACTCATTCTTTTGAAAAAGTAGTTTATATGCATCACAGATTTCTGGACTCATTGAGACTAAAGGGTGAATTTCGTAGACATAGCCATTCAATTTAAAATATTTTAATTCAGAAAAGTGTTTCATGATGGAACAGCCAGCACTTACTCCTTTTTCAAGGATTGGGTAGAATGTGAAGAAAAATGCTGGTCTTCTAAAGCAACTTTTGGAGTAGAGAGGATGATCAAAATAAATTTTACCAGAATTTTGAATATAGTAGAACTTGTTAATCAATTCAGAAGCAATTATGGAAAACCATGGTTATTCTGCTTTTTGCCATTGGTAGAAAAATATGATGAAGAAATCGGAAATTTAAGATTCAGACTGTTCCTCAATAAAGGTTGAAAGTAGGAACTCATGTATTCAAATAAAATTTAAAATAAGGTTGAAAATATTTATGTTAATAGCAGAACAGGAACTCTAAGTATTTGTGTATTTCAATATTTTGAGATTATTTTATACTATAATTTTACATATCATTTGTGTGACTGTATCATCAAAAAGACCATTGAAGCCCATGTGAGGTACTTGTGAAGTAAAATTTTTGATTAGTTATTTAATTACTACATAACATTTTTCTGCTGTTTGCAGTGTTTATTGAATTCGAGTTTAATAAATGTATGGTTAGCCTCTGCCTAGAGAATCAGGTCTGTTATTTGTTATACCAGGTTTAAATATGTTGAGTAGTTTTTTCCCTCAATGAAAAATCTTAGTGTTTTCCCCTCTGTTCTCTATTTGTACTTTTCTTCAATCTGGAACAGCTGGTTGAGTATCCTGCTACTCTGTTCTTCAACACCCACAGCCCACTGTATGTAACCTGGCCACATTCCAGGCCATCACCTTTAGTGTTCTTCTGTAGGACACATAGATAACGTTTACTAAACTTCTCACCAAGCCAGATGTAATAGCTGTGGTCCAAATTTTAGAAGGTTTGTAAAGTAATGTTCTTCAACATTTAGTGTAGTCTGGAGTTTGGTGTCGTATTAATACCCAATAACTTCTTGATTTTATTCTCTAGTATTAATCAGTTTGCCATTGCACAAAATGATGCCTGGTTTTTTTTCCTCATGAAAGTGTTAGGTTGTAAGATTTCGTTTGTGGAAGCTGATGTGGGGCAACTGCTGTTTTGAGGATTTACTTAAATCTATCAGTCATGAAAGTATCCATGATTAATTTCATGTCATCTCAAGTATAAAGTGTCAAGAGCACAATTATTTTACAAACAAGAGATTTATCAGACCAAGGATTTTTTATGTTGTTTAAGCTTTTCTAATTACAAAAAAAAAAGAAAGAAAATCAGCCCACTATGCCTCCTTTTGGCAAAAGAGAATTTATTGGAATGACGTACATGGATTGGAACCAGAAAACAAACAGGAACAGAGACTGGCTGTTTTTTGTGCCTCTGCTGTTCTCTCTTAGCTAGTCAGTCTTTTCTATATTCCTCTAAAATCTGGAAAGACTTCTGATTGACTTACTAGGAAGCATCAATGTCCAACATCCCAAGCCAACTAATACATGGCTACCCTAATTGCAGATGGGCTACCTCTTGGTCGAGTGCCTGCCTCTGCTCTAATCCACAGCCATTCCTGCACAAAGAATAATAGCAATGCTATGGGGACCATGAGTGGGCAATTTAAATAGAAGGGGACGTTAGATTTGGCAGCCATGATAAGGTGTTTAGCAGCTTTTCTCTCAGACCTCTGCATTCTTCCCTCTTCAGGCTTTTTTCCCCTGCAGTAAAGCTTCTGAGCCATCCCTGCTCATTGCTTTCATTTTCTAACTTCCCATTCATTTGTCAATTTATTTTTATAGTCCCTGCCACTACCATTACCCTGAATCAATTGTCTCGGCTGTCCTCAAGATTTCATAATTGCCCATTTCAGTTAGGCACATTTTAGGCCTAACTACTCTTTATTATTTAAAATTATTGACCATTTTTTTTCTTGAAACTTTATCCTCCCTTATTTTTAACACATCACTTTATTCTGGATTTCTTATCTCTTTGGCCATTCATTTTTAATCTCCTTTGCCAGCTCACATCATACATGCCAATATTTCCGACAGTTCTGTCCTTGTATTATTAGGTGTGTCCAATCTTTTGGCTTTCCTGGACCACATTGGAAGAAGAATTGTCTTGTGTTACACATAAAATACGCTAATACAAACTATGGCTGAGGAGCTAAAAAAAAAAAAAAAAATCACAAAAATGTTTTAAATGTTTTAAGAAAGTTTACAAATTTGTGTTGGGCTGCATTCAAGGCCATCCTAGGCTGCATGCAGCCTGTAGGCTGTGGGTTGGACAAGCTTGTTGTAGGTTTCTGTTGCTACATTATAATAACCCTGTTATAAAAATTTGTAATTTTTTCATGCAAAGCATACTTTTTCCTAGTGAGCATTGGTTCCTTTTTATAGTGACTCACAAATCATGTTGATATAACCCAGTCTAGAATTTTCTTCAAACATACCCTCTTCTATACAGTGAGGGTGTCAAAATATGCCTATTCTTCTGAAATTTGAAGAAAGCATTTTACATTGTTCATTTCATTGACTTTATAATTGATGGGAGGGTTTGTTCACTCTCATTATGCTTCAGACTTACACCTGAAGTAGCTATTAACATTTGGTCATTGCTTGGCCCAGGCTGCCATTCCTCTTCATTCCCTGTTATTACTATCTCTGTTCAAATTTCATTTCTCCCAGTAGGCCTGGTTTAGCTTCCAGTATTCCTGTCCTTTATTCTATTCCCTAGACTGCTACCTTAGTGATTTTTTCTAAAATACAGATATGATCATGTCATTTCTTGCTACCATATTGATTTTTTTCTAAAATACAGATATGAACATTTCTTGCTTAGAAGTCCTCAGTGATTTTTCCCTATCTCCGTCCAGGATAGAATCTATACTCTGTAGCCTGAAGGCCTCATAATATGGCTGCTACCTACCTTTCTAGTCATATCTTGCTAGACCATTCTCCCTTTCTGATTCTATATTCCAATTGCACTGCTCCCTAAGTTCTACTGTTGCTTAGTCTTAGATAACATTCATGACAATTGCCAATGAAAAAATTCCCTTCATATGTTAAATTATTGTGGATATTTACAGTTAACAAAAGTCTGTTGCTGAGGGACCATTTATTATATAAGCATGTCTAACCTTATTTTACAAATTGTTTACTTCCTTATAACTTTCAAATTTGTGTGTCCAGTTTGGCATTTGTTCCCATTATTAAGATTTTCTGACAGAACAAAACATACAAATAAGCAAACTTAGCTCCAGTCATTAATAAAATTCTTATTTAAGCATCCTAGTGTATGTAATAAGGAATGATTTACTTTTTCAAATATGTAACCTGTTTAGATTTCATTTTCCTAATCAACACACTAGTTTTGTGTACTTGAACAAATTGCTTTAATTTACCAATATTATGCAATTACATAATTTACTATTTTATAGAAAGATAATGTGTATCACTGTCTTACCTCTCTTTTCAGTTTTCTCTCTTTGAGATTCTATAAATCCACTAGACATTATAACTGATAGTTGTTGAAAAACTTAATTGAATTTTTAATTTTCATTATTTGGAGATCCCACAAGTGAACTAAGCAATATTCTTTGAGACCTCCTTTTATTAAGAAAAGGTGAAGGAAGGGGGAAGAAAAGAGAAGAAAATGTTACAGGCTTTCTTGGGTGGCTTAGGACATCAGAAGTTTCCATAAAGTACAATTAGATCTGCTTATGTAATTTTCTCTGGTTAAGTGACTTGCTCCTAAAGCAATTAAATTTAACCCATAAAAGCAGAGATTACATCATCCACAAAGGGTTACTGTGAAAAATGTCTGATGTGTTTAACACACCTACTGTCACATGGTAAGCCCTTAATTAGTGGCAGCTGCTAAAGTGAGAGACTGTAATATAAGTGTTGATAATACAGATTTCATGGTCCTTCAAACTGGAGTTTGAATCCTGGCTTTCCAATTATCAGTTCTGTGAACATGGGCATGGTAATTCAATTTCCCCATCTATAAAATGGGGTGTAAATACATATGGGAATGTATAATGTATTAAAGAAGCTACCATAGTAGGAGGTATATAACAAGTACTCAATAAATAATTTGTTTCCTAACACAGAAATATAAACCCAGACATTACTGAGCTGAAATCTAGCCAAGAGCCAAGTAGCAAGCAAAAACAAAACAAATTATAGTAAAATCTATGAACAAGCAAAGATGTCACACCAAAAAAATGCTTATGTTTCTTTACTTTACTCATGGAAGTGTCGCTCGGGTTCCCATTTAGTGCCCATTTCGTCTCCATTGCTTGTTAGGTCACTTCAGGTGAGTCTCAGATAGTTCCACTTTTCTTTCTGTTAAATAAAGGAATTAACTAATTTCTAAAAGTCTCTTAATTCCAGAGACTTTTTAATTCTGTGTGTATAGTATCTGAAATTTATTGTCTTTGGGCTCTTTTATACTAATTAAAAAAAAATTCACTCTAAAGTATAGCACCTATGCACAAGATCCACTGTATGACAATCTTTGTGATGAATTTTTAGTTCAGCATGAACGGTCAATATTAGAATGATTATAATTTCAGTGGAACAATTTAAATAAATTACAAGAATAAATAAGAATGATTGGTTTTGTAGAAATGTTGAACACTGGAAAAAGCTTCAGAAGCAAGTTATGATAGGCTATTCTGCAGTTATAAATTAGCCTCAGGTTTCAGTGTTTGAAAACTTTTAACATTTCTTATAGCAAATGGTAGTCTAACATTGGTCACGACTGTCTCTGTTTCACATAGTTACTCAAGAACCCAAGCTAAGATGCTGTAACGACTCAGCCTGGATAGTTGCCACAGTTGAAAAGAGTGAAGAGCTAGAGTTTTGCCCCAGTCTTAAATGCACTGATACTTTCTGACCCAGAAATGACAGATGTAATTTCCACTTGTAGCCTATTAGAATTAATCAGATGGCTCTACCTAACTGTAAGAGAATGAGGAATTTAGTGAGCATAAATGCTTCCGCTATGTTATATGAGTGAATTCTGGAAAGATAAATGGCTATCATTCAGGTGAATTAATGGGGAGATGAAAAACTCTTCCTCTACTGTGGAAGTGAAGTTACCGTTAGAATTAAAAAGTAGATGTTAAAGAAGTTAACTACTATATTCCTTTGAGCATTTGGAAGCTGAAACATAGTATAAAAAGATCTCAGAGAGCTGAGAATAAGCTCTGAGGCAGCTCTATAGCTTAATCTTGCACTTTAAATTATGTGTAAAGATTTTATGTCTAATTACAAAATGTTGATTAATTAAATATGGACTATGAATTTTATAGAGTTATTTTGTGTAAGATGTGTTAATGGATAGATTCTGTGTTTTAGAAGATTGCTGTTACCTGTGCCTAAGGATCCCAAAGTGCTAAGCACTACTTATGAAAAAAAAAAATGCTGGTATACCCAATCACAGTGTTTAGAAAAAATAAACTCTAAAGGGTTATCTTTTTACCCGAACCTGTAAAGTTGCGTCACATGAGAGGATAGCCTTCAGTGAATCAGCCTGTAAAGAATCACATGCATGCTATTTATTAAAAGTAACATTTATGGAGGTCACAAAAATAGTATTATTTAAATACATAGTTGAAATAGTAGTTAACATTAATGGGGGCTGTACAATGTGCAAGGAACAATGCTAATTATATGCATTATTTCTGTTAAATTTTACAATAACTCTGTGAGGTAGGTACTGTTATTCCCATTTCCAAACTTATCAATTTGTAAGTGGTTAGATAAGGCCCTTGCAGTTAAGTCCTAGAAAAGGTGAGTTAAATTTATATACATTTTTATTATCTACGTATCATCAAATTAAAGTCTCTTATAAATGTTTGTGATTAGTAGGAATTAAATAGTAATGTTAACTTTTCTGTTTTTAGGGTTTGGACAGAGGAGCCAAAGGCCAGATTTCCACTTTCAGCAGTTTTATTTCAGCTGTTAGCCCGAAGAAAGAAGCCGCTGAAAACAGAAGTTCACCTGCACATCTCATTTTCCCTAACATCAAGAATGGTAAATTATTTTTAAATATATGTTGGCTGAAAGTATATTATTAAATTATTTAAAAAGTAGACATTAATTATTCAGCATTGTTCTGATAGGTCTAGTTAATACAACAAAAAGAAGCTGTATACATATTTACTGGAAACAGCAAAATCTTTATTTTTAGGTGATTGTTGCCTAGAGTAAGAGAATGAAATACAAAACTCGTGAATAATAAACAAATTTGATTAGAGAGACTGCTACATTATAAAATAAATATACATATATATTTTATATGTCTATTATATAAATGTATGTATGCAAATATTTAGTAGATATCCCATATTTGAGCAGTTATCAATTAGAAGACTTTATGGAAAATAGATGAAATACTTAGAAATAAACCTAAAAGGAAATGTGTAAAATCTATATGGAGAAAGCTATAAAACTGTTATCTAAAGACCAAAAGGTAGTTTGAATGGAAAAGCTTACCATAAATATTATAGAGATGTAACATAAGTAAAAAGATAAATGGAAAGAATATACATTATTTATAGTAGTGATATTTGAATCAATCTAATTAGATTAGTTAACTAAATTATGTTAGTCTGTATTGCAAATACTGTGCTGCTATTAAGAATATGATATGTACGTAAAGTGACTAAGAGAAATGTTCACAATACCTTGTAAAGTAAAAAAAGTAAGTTACATCATTATAGGTAGAATATGACTCCAGTGTTTTTAAGTGCAGCGAAACCTTTTGTACTTTGAGCATAGGAGGGTGCTCACTAATCTGTTCATAGTTTCCTCAGGGAGGTAGAATTGTATATATTATTAATGTTTCTTTATGTAGCTCTATACTGTTTTACCACAGGAAGTGGACATTACTTAAATACTTCTAAGTGCCCCTCACCTTGTAACAAGACAAACCTTCAAAGGTTTAAATGCCCCTCACATTCTAACCAAACAAAACAAACCTAGAAATATTTAAGGACATAGTTTCTGGTAAATTACCCATGTCCATAAGCTGCACGTGATATAAATTATTCTTACACAGAGATTTTCTGTTTGATACTCTAAGCCAGTGCTAGACCTATTCTACATTCTTACGGGTTAGTGTTTATAATACTTCATTTTTGAACATTTTCTTTTGATGACTTCTTTCTTTTATTTATTTGCATATACACGCACCCCTCCATCGTGCCAATATTGCCCCAAGGAGGCACCTTTGAGTTCACACTCTCATTTCTATCTACTCCATTCTTTCTGTACTAATATCTTGATCTCTGAAGTCAGTTTGCCAACTCATATGCCTACAAGTTTTTGAGTGGCTATATTGACTCTGAATATGGTCCACTTATTTGAGCTTCTACCTCATCTGTGTCTCAGATGTCTGCTTCCCTCTTATCTGTGCCAGTCTTGTGGAATCTGGACTTAGCCCCAACCGGAACTTGGGGTATTTGCATACATGAGTTTGACTCTAGGTGAATAGACCTTTTAGCAGACTTCCTTTATCTTATTAGAATTCCTGGTACTGAATTTTCCTAGCTGTTCTATCTGGATGCCACCTCAATTCAGGTGTGGCATGAAGTTCATTTGTTAGGGGCACTGTGGAAGTAATTCTTTTATTGAATAGAAAGTTAGACTACATCTTCCAAATGTAAGCATGTTTATAATTACTTGATCTCTTTGGAAGCCACTCTTACTTGCCAATAAGAGTGTTTTCTCAAAGATGCCTCATTCTTGGCAGTTGTTACAGTTTTCCTCCCTCTTCTTTGGTAGCAGGACCTATGCTGGGTATACTCTAACAGATTGTTTCCCCTGTCTCGTCTTCAAGTGGTATTAGGGAAACTGCAGAAACCCAGCGTGGGTTCACCTAACAGCTGAGGAATGCCTTTGCTCCCTGTGGATCACATGACTAGGTATGCCTGTCAAATTGGCTGTCCTTTTAAAAAGATGTGAAAAGTGTAGGAATTTTACCTGCTATAACAACTGCTAGTGGTGATACATCTTCAGAGAAACAACCTGGATGGTAAGTGATAGAGGAGAGGAGGTTAGCACTACACCCTCTCTTACACTTTTGTATCTTTCTAAAATTATGATGCCCCTTTCACACTTGAAACATTTTTAAGCAGCACAGAATATCTTTAAAAGACATGAAGCAATTCTTCCCCAAATTTTTAAAAATATCATTGCAGTCTTGGTAGTTCAGAAAAGAGTAGCTATGAACTCTGACATTTACCTTAGGAGCAAGCCCATGGCCAGCTCAATCCATTTCATGAGTTTAGTAGAACCTTGATATGACATAGTGAATTCTGCAGTTTTTACTCAGTTTGGATAAAAGCATCCTGTGATCTTTGTCACTCTAAAATAGCCAGGGAAGAACAAGTAGTCTTCAGCTGAAATAACGATGGGATCTGTGTGTGAGTCCAGTGATCTTCACAGATCAAGTACCACAGAGTTTCACAGTTTCTCTAAGAGCAACTTGAGGGGCAGCTGTTAGACGAAACCTGGCACAGGGCTTGCCATTTGGGGAAAACAAAGGACTTGCCACGTTAGGATTCCTACCTTAGAAGAAGTATTATTTTCAAGGCCTAGATAACTCCATCTTCAGGTTTCCTTAGAGAATGGACTGACTTTAGACTAAATCTCTCAGATCTTTTCCTTGGTCAGAGTGGGAAACTTGGATTTGACTTTTCTTAGCTCTTCCTATGGGAAGAGTTATTTTTTCTTTTTTATATTAAACTCAACTTTTCATTGAATAGGTAACACATTTTCAAAATGAAAATGAATTTTATTTTTATTGAATAGGTAACACATTTTCAAAAATGAAAAATGTAAAAATAAATATGTTTCAGACATCTCACTGTCTTTTCTGTTGACTCTTGTATTCTTTCCTGTTTTTTTTTTAGGCAAATGCAAACAAATATAAATAAATATTCTCATTTTCCACCTTTGGTAGGTAACTGCGTATACATCATCTAGAACCTTGCATTTTGTTCAGTTCATGTATTCTAGATATCTTTCTGTATCAGTACATGGAAAATTTTATTGTTTTTTACAAATATATTCCATCGGATGGAATATATTGGATGTACATTGTTACTGGAGTAAGTAAACTGGGTTTATTTACTTAGATTCCTATTAAAAGAAATGAGTTGTGTTCATTATTTTGTTATTGTAAACAATGCCACAATGAATGACTATACATATATCACTTTGTTCATCTGCAGGTGTATCTATAGGATATTTCTAGAAGTGGGGTTGTTAGGCCCAGGAGTAAAAGCATGTACAGTTCCTTCAGTTTGAATCCATCTGTTTGTTTTAAAGACCCAGCATGTGGTACATGTAGTCTATACTCAGTTAATAATTTATTGAATGAGGTAACGAATGAATGGAATGCACTTTTTCTGGGTTTCTGGCATGTTTACCCTGTTGGAATATCAAACCGATCTTAAGGCTGTAATAAGTTCTGTAAGATATGTCCAGATTAAGACACCTATTTCATAAAATAAAACTTTCTAGAGAGGAGACTTTCAAAAGTTTTTATAACTAGGCTCATAAAAGAACATTACTCCGATGCTTTTATTACAGTTTTACAAACACATACATCATTGAACTTAGTAAAAAGTACATCTCCAAAATCTAATGAATGTATTTGCTTTATTTGGCTCTGATGGCTAAAGTCCTGTGAGTCAGACTTTTTTTTTCCATCTTTCTTCCTTTCTCTCTCCCACCTTCAATTTTATTTTTTGCCAAATGTTCAGAAAAGTCATCCTATAGACAATGATGTAAACACCCCTTGTTATGACTAATCCATTCTGGTCTTTCCTCCTTTCAGCTGCCTGCCACTATTGAAGTAGTCATAGGCAGTACCAAAGTACTAAACTGATACAGGGATCCTTCAAATTGTAACTCATTTATTATTACATGCCTAGACTCACACATTGTCAGTTAAGAACTGAGTCTTTGACTCCACTACTACCTATAACTGCCAGTGTGACCTTAAACAGATGACTTAGCCCTCTTGTTTTTTATCGTGACTGAACATTTGTAGAATGAGGAAATTGGGCATGTTGAGTTGTGAAGTGTCATTTACGCCTAAGTTTTATGATTTAAATGGTTAATTTCCTAATATATTGATTTTGCTTGATGCTTGAATTTTTTTCTTTCTTTGGACGTCTTACAGTTTACTAGCTCCTACACCCATGTGAATTTAGTTTTTCATTTTATTATTTGTTTTTATACATAGTATAAGGTTTGGCATTGTTCAACAGTCAGAATAACACAGGTTTTGTAGCTTTTCAGGATGGGTTTGAATTCTGGCTTCATAACATACAAACTGTACAATCCTAAAAAATGTGTTTAACCCCTCTGTGTTCATTTTCTCATTTGTAAAATTGGATAATAAAGAAGCTACCTTATGAAGTTGTAAAGATATGAATGAAAGCATTTAAAAATATTTAATACTATGTCTTAGGAAGTTCAATACATGTTATGACAATGTATATATATTGTGGAGGAAGGTATTATGATAGGGCAGTAACATTACTCTTATCTCAACTGATGGCACACATTTTAAGTCCAAAATGTGTTACACATGCAGAAGATGACAGTCAACATTTCTGTACATCTTAATAATAAAATTAAAACCAAAGAACTCAGCACTAAAGAGCACTACTGGTACTGTAAAAGCCCCAGGGAGCCCACCCCAATCACATTGCCCCACCTTTCTGTCCAGAGGTTAACTATTGTTCCCATTTTTATAGTTCCCTCTGTGTTAATGAGTCCTGAGAAACAAAGGACACCTCTTGGGACATCTAGCAGAGCTGCAATTGAGACTATTAGAAGTCTGTCAGAAAGAGCCCTCCAACTGTCAAGAGTACTATAGGTTTTAATCTGTGAGGTGAACTGAATGTCTTCAGCTGTGTCAGCAGAGAAAGCATAGAGCAGGGACTTCATGACACCCCTGGCAAGCCAGGAATAAGAAGTAGGCTCACCTGTACATTCTATCTTTAGTTTTAAAAAAA